AAGTGACAACATTGCATCAAGATTAGAGGTGGAAGAGAGAGATGAAAAGTTGTTGGAATCACTCGAACCTCACCGAAATCTCGAAAGTTTAGGGATAAGGGGATTCGGAGGTAGATTTTTTCCGATTTGGATGTCGAATTCGACTCTGGACAAAGTAGTCGAAATCCACATATCATACTGCAAGAATTGTTTGAGACTACCACAACTGGGAGAGCTACCTCATCTTAAATCCTTGACTTTAGATCATGTGGCGGCGGTGGAGTACATTATCGAGGGTCAAGTTCAGAGTGGAAATACGTTATGTGTAAATTTTCCATCTCTGGAAACTTTGTATTTGTGTTCTCTTCCGAATCTCAAAGGGCTGTCGAAAGAGGAAGCGACAAGAGTAGCGTTCCCGAATCTCGAGAAGTTATGCATTCTACATTGTTCTTCATTAGTAATGCCGCCACTCTCATCCCTAAAAAAATTGAAGACTTTGAGCTGCAGTAGCTCAACTTTGGCTTCACTGTCGAACCTGTACACCGTCACTCTTCTTCTTGTGGACATTGACAAGAATACGACATGCATTCCGATCGAGACGCTGCAAAACCTAAACAATCTCGACGATTTGTCGATCTACGGAGCACATGAGCTATGCTTGCCAGAAGAAGGGCTGAAATCCCTAAAATCACTAAAACGCTTGCATGTAATAGATAGCGAGAAGCTGACGTGTTTGCCTCAATGCTGGTTGCGAAACTTGACTTCTGTAGAGGAACTAGAAGTAAGCCGATGCTCGGAAATAGTGGATCTTCCGGAAGGTATTAGATATTTTAACTGCTTGAAAGAACTGAAGCTCGACGATCTTTCTAAGATGGTGCGTGTGCCCGAAGCATTGCAACACATTTCGTATTCGCTCCAATCTCTCAAACTGCACCGCCTTCATGTGCTGAGTTCACTGCCGAAGTGGTTGGATGGTTTGACATGTCTTGAATCACTGGATATTTACGACTGCCCGAAGATAGCATCGATTCCAGATAGTGTAAGAGGAATGACGAATCTTCGGTATCTGTGCGTGGAGAAATGCTCGGAATTGGAAAGGCGGTGCGAGAGAGGGGATGGGGAGGACTGGCACAAGATAGCGCATATTCCACGCCTGCAAATTGGTGAACGCTGGTGATTAATTGATAATAAATCATCAACTAGCTCTTTCCAATTCTGTAATTTTACAAGAATTATTTTGGAGGTTAGAAATGTAGAAGTTGAGCAAACTTTCAAACAATTTCTACATTTACTACCCATGTTAAAATCGCAACTGTGTTTTTCCCCATGTCATAAGAAAATTAGCGAATACCGTCTTGTATTTATTTTTGGACAGTATACTCTACGGTTTTGTAGAACCTACGCCCGATGAATTAGGTGAAATACGTATAATAATAGAAGTCTATGTGAATGCATGCTTAGAGGATAGTTATTTATGTAGATTTACGATTTAAAACTACATGGTGTATTTCATAGGTTGTAGTATCTCATAAGCCCACACACACTACCTATTTAACTTTTTCTCGTTGACCGGTTGTGAAAGGACAAAAACAACCCGGGAGGTTTCTGCAAAAAACTAGAGTTAATTGCGGGTGTGGGGTTCTGGGAAGAAGACGACTGCTTTATTTTATTTTTTTCCTTCATTTTTTCTTCTTCTTCTTATTATTATTATTATTATTATTAATATTATTATCAGGCCCCGTTTGGTTGCCAAGATAAACCAAGATTAACTAAATAGCTGGACTTAATTTGATGTTTGGTATCTTCAATAAATGCGGGTCGACCCGCCAAAATTATATAATCATGGCTTATCTTGGCTTATCTTGCCTTCTAGTGTGTTTTTTTTGTTGGACGTCGCAAGCTCCAATAAAATAATTGGGTTTCATTAGACTATTTAATCTTATCTTGGCTAATCTTATCTTGCCAACCAAAAAAAATAATGCGCGTACACGCAAGGCACGTGTTTCAGCCTTGAGCGAGTCCATGTTATCGTGCGAAGGCAGCAAAGTCAACTTTCTGTCTCTTTCACCATTTTCTCCATTAACAAATGACAATGCTTGAGACAAGACGACTTTCTTGCAAGTACTGGAATGCGTCCAAATATCCATAACTAATCCTTCTTTGTTATTAAGCAACACTATTTTTTTTTTAAATGAAGAATCAATTTAATAAGTAGGATAAATTGCACTTCGCCCCCAAGAAATTTCTAGTTTTTGCACTTTCCCCCTTACAAATAAAAAAATGAGACTTTCTCCATTCCAAATATTATTATAGTTGCACTTTGCCCCAAATGGGACTTTCCGGCGTAATTTTTCACCCGTTTTCTCACGTCTCTGCCAACTGCATTTTCATCATTTTTCACCAATCCCACCCAAATATTAGTATCCTTGAACAAAAAACCCAACCCATTATACAATTCATTACATTATTGCAAAACAAACAAAAAATTACGTTTTTTCTCTCAACACATTCCGCAGATTGTGGTCACCAAATTGTAAAAATCTTCAATTTTCTTCTTCGATTACCATTTGTTACGGCGATCCCCTCCCATAGATTTAAAAAGTATGAGTTGGAAACGAAGTGAAGGAATGCACAAAGTGAACAAAGGACATGCATATAACCCACAAAACCAATATGTGATCGATTTGTGTAACAAAATGAAAAGAGGTAATGTATAAAACACATAAAACCGACATTCCATGATTTTCCTCGTCTAACAAAATGAAAAGAAGGTCGAAATTCAAACACCCATAAATCGTAGCTTTAACAATTGAATATTAAACATAAAGAATGAAACACACAAATAACCTTACCTTTGTCACAAAGTTTTTTGCCTTTAAAGAGAAAAATAGAATCCTAATTTTGGAGCTCAATTATGTGATTGTGGGTTATAAAGAATAAAAAAATTGGGGATTTGGGTGCAAAATTGCGTATATACACTGAAAGGACAAAAAATGCGCTTTAAGTTGACGGAGACATGAGAAAACCGGTGGAAAATACGCCGGAAATTCCCATTTGGGTCAAACTGCAATTATAACGAAATTCAGAAGGGGATAGTCTCATTTTTTAATTTGTAGGGGGGAAAGTGTGAAAAGTAAAAATTTCTAAGGGGCGAATTGCATTTTGTCCTAATAAGTATCCACTTGAATCTTCTGTTAGACAACTTCTTTTTTGAAAAGATGCATGCATTTACTTTGATTAACTCAACATCTTCATAGCTCTCCCTCATACCTCATCTTCTCATATTCCAAAGTTGATCTGAATATTAGCGAAAAAGAAAATAATTCATCGAAGTTGATATGAATATTGATTTGTTCAGAAATGGCAGAGTCGTCGTTCCTTCAAATAATTCTTGAAAAACTGAGCTCATTGATCCTTAAAATATTAGCGTAAAATTAATTTTAAAAACTTCATTTCGGTCTTTCGAAAAAATTGGGGGGAATCTGTAATTTTTAAAATTTATGTTAAAGGATGACAAATGATACACCACTAGTATATCCATTATATGCAAACATAAGTTAATTTACAGATGATTAAAATGCAAAGACACATTTAAAAATCGGAATAATAATCTGAATAAAAATCCGAAACAATTACGCCGGTAAGTATGTGCCATATGTTTATTAAACTTCTATTGTATTTAGGGTAAATAGCATTTAAACCCCCGTGGTTACAAACTTTTGCAGATGACCCCTTTTACTCGTAATATCAGCATATAAACCCCCTTGTGGTTTATGGGAAGTTTCGGTTAGTTTTCCGTCAAACTTAACCACATGTGTCAAACTTCAAGGGGGTCATCTGCAAAAATTAAAGGGAAAATGAGAGTACAAGGGGGTTATCTGCAAAAAAATACTTTGACGTTTGACACACGCGGTCAAGTTCGACGAAAAAACTAATGAAAGCTACCTCATAAACCAAAAGCGGGTTATGTACTTATGTACTGACATTACAAGCACAAGTAGGCCATAAGCAAAAGCTTTTAAATCACAGGCAGTTGAAGTGCTATTTACTCCTATATTTACTAAAAATCCGAGATAAGCAAGTTGATAAATAAAATATTCGTTGTTAGAGTTGATATATGGGAAAAATACAGTTTTCGTCCCTCAAGTTTAATTTGCATCAATTTCACATTTGGTCCCCTCTGTTTACAAAAACACATTTGGTCCCTCATGTTTCAAAAATTCAATATTTTTAGTCATTTCCGTCAATTTTTCGTAAGTATTAATGGAATCAAGCGTGTGTACATCACTGCCTTAACTGACGGACTAGCGGTAAATTGACGGAAATGACCAAAATTGTTAAATTATTGAAACATAAGGGACCAAATGTGAAATCGGTGCAGACTTGAAGGATGAAAAATGTAATTTTTCCGTCGATATATATATATATATATATATATATATATATATATATATATATATATATATATATATATATATATATATATATATATATATATATATATATATATCACCACCTTTATTTTTTTCTTTAAATATATATACTTCACAAAAAGAATATATACCGGGTATATACGCAACGAACGTGTTAGAGCCTTGAACGTGTCCATGTCAACTCTCTCTCTCTCTCTCTCTCTCTCTTACGCAACGAACGTGTTACGTGTCCATGTCAACTCTCTCTCTAATTTTGTATTGGACGATGCAATAAACACTATTTGTTATTAATCAATGCTTTGAGCTGAAGACTTTTTGCAAGTAGAGTAGTGGAATACGTCCAGATATTCATAACTAAACACTATTTGTTTTTAATCTAGAGTACTTAAATATAATCAACGTACTGTTCAAACATAAAAAGGGAAAATAGCATTTGCGCCCATGTGGTTTGAACTTTTTGCACTTGACTCCCTTGTACTTTCAATATAGCACATAACCCCCTTGTACTTAAAAAAAGTTTCTTCCTAATGTGCAGAACTATTTACTAAGTGGAATACCACAGGGGGTTATGTACTTATATTAAAAGTAAAAAGAGGATCATGTGAACACAGCTCAAACAACAGGGGCTTAACTGCTATTTACCAAACATAAAAAATCAGTATTTTATTGAAGTTGACAATTGAAATTTTCAGCCTACCACAATAATATCATTTCTAATTAACAGATATACAAAAGATACATTTACTTTGATAAATCAATCTCTGCACAGCTCTCCCTCGTATACACACACATCTTCTCATATTCCAAGCAATTAACAAAAGTAAATTTTGAATTTTGGATCTGTTCATTATGGCAGAGGCATTCATTCCAATAATTCTTGAAAAAGTGAGCTCGTTGATCCAAGATGAGTTTGGATTGATTACGGGTGTGGGTGAAGAGATGAATAAGCTCTCGAGCACCCTCACCACCATTCAATCCGTGCTCGAAGATGCCGAAACGAAGCAACTTCAAAGCAAGGCCATACTAAATTGGCTATTCAAGCTCAATGACCTTATCTACGAGATTGACGACGTATTGGATGAGTGCGCAACGGAATTCTCGATATTGGAGCACAAAAACAGCAAATTCGGTCGATATAGCGTGAAGCACATTTGGTTTCGACATGAAGCTGGAAGAAAGATGAAGCACGTTACCAAAAAATTGGATGAGATTGCTGCAGAGCGTGCGAAGTTCCATCTGCATGAGATGGCTATAGAGAAGCCAAACGAGTTTGCTGCCACACGTGAGACTGGTTCCACTATGAACGAGTCTCATCTTGTTTATGGTAGGGACGATGATACGGAGAAGGTTGTTGACATCTTGGTCAACCAGGTCAACGGCAATCAAGAAATCTCCATCCTCCCCATAATTGGCGTTGGGGGCCTGTTGGTCGAAAACCTACACGCAAGTGCACGTATCGTACAAGTAATATAGTGGACAATTAAGTCCGGATATCGAACCCACAGGGAATATTTAATTATCTAACCCTAGACGCTAAATTCTACCAATTATTATCAAGCCCACCCTACACAGTCGAAAGATGATTAATAAACTAATTTAAACTAAAGCAATTAAAACGACAAAAACAAGAAAGCAATTAAAACGAAGATTTAATCAGATAAAACGAGCCTAGGATTTTATTCTTCCCCCTATGTGATTATTATTCCCCCAATTCCTTCAATTATGCAAGCAATTAACCCGGATTATTAACCTGAGATGCTAAAATAATCATAACCCGCTTCCGCGTGTATTACGATTCTAATGCTCTAGATTCAATTACTATATTCCTATGCAATTAATTCTAGAACACAGCATTAAGCACAAATCTCAATAATGGCTACCTAAGAGATTAACTATATTCCTATGTTAATACCACAAAGGCTCTTCTACCACAGTTCTAATTATTAACCCGATCTTCCGATTCATGCGATTAACAATAACATAAAAGCACATAAGTTGATCAAGTTCATGCACTTAATAAAACAAGTAGAAGAAATAATCCGGAATTAAAACTTGCATAAAATCATAGAAAAAGGTTCATAAATCCCACATAGGGTTCCAAATAAAATCCTAGAAATAAAGACTTAGCTACTCGTAATTCTTATGATAAATAAAATAAAATAAATAAATTAAATAAGAAAAACTATGCTTGAATCTTCGTTGATCTTCTATGCTCTTGAATTTGCGTCCAAAGATTGATCCCTAATTGTGTGCTTGGAATGGTCTTATATAGGGTGAAGAACTTGGGGAAGAAGGCAGTTTCCTTGTGCGATTAAAATCCTTTTACTGCGCAATTTCGGGTTATGGGACGGGGGTCCCATGATTTGCACTAAAACTGGGACGGGGGTCCGAGCCTTGTTTCTTCAGAATTTTGATTTTTTCACTTTTGGCCCATATTTTCTCCAAAATTGCAGTTTTGACCCCATACTTTTCCAATTCTTCAATTTGTACCTACAATACAATAAATCAACTTTTTAAGCACCAATTATCATTAAAACACACCAAAAGCTCAAATAAAAAGATACGATAAAGTGTAAAAATATACACTTAACACACCCCCAAACTTGAACTTTTGCTTGTCCTCAAGCAAATAACTCAACTATTACATCTCATCACATAGATCAATGATCAACTTCACGTTTTCAGAACTTGTAATTATAATGACAATTCTTAGGCATTCGCAAGCTCAAAATTCAACAACACTTAGTCACTCACCATTACCAAAAACCACAATTCATACAATTGCTTCAAGCATCCAATATTTGCAAATTAAAGATAGAAAGAATTTATACTTACATGCATATGCTTGACTCCAAATACTCACCAAATTATTCTACTCTACTAATATCGAACATTAAGCTATTGGGATCATTGGGGCTTTGTGGCTTTCAATTGTTAGGCTCTTTGGTTCGAGGTAGGAAATATGGGTATGTGTGGCTATTCTTCTTGAATTTAGGTGATTACGCCAAAATTTGAAAGATAGGCGTTTGAAACAATGAATTCACCTCTACGGACTTTAATAAACTCGATTCACAAAAGTTCAAAAGTCTCCACTTTTGCTTTTAAGGCTATGGATCGAGTTTTCAAAAATAATTCAACAACTAGTCCTTATTTTTCCCTTCTAGTCTCTTCTTCTTCTTTTTTTTTTTTTTCTTCTTTTTTTTTTTTTTTTCTTTTTTTTTTTTCTCTTTTTTTTTTTTTCTCTTTTTTTTTTTTTTTTTTTTTTTTTTTTTTTTTTTTTTTTTTTTTTCGAAGAAGAAGGACCTTAAATTTTTTAGACCGAACTCCAAGGGGTAATTTTTCAAGAATCTCCACATATTCTACCTTACACATTGGCTAAAAGAAAGAACACCTTTTCTCCGAGGCTCAAATCAAGGTTCTAAGGAAAATTTCGATAAAAAGGTCGGCTTGAAAGGCTCAAACGGTTCAAAGAAGGCCCAAATCATATCCCAAATCACTCACTACTCAATACTTCGTATCATAAATTTCCTAAGGTGTGTCTTAAAACCGAACATAGCATGATCTAGCACAAATTAATTCCAAATTTAAAATACAAAACATTCAACCAAAGCAATGCACAAAGTGTGATTCCTAGCAATAATTCGCTTCTAAGTTCCGTTGAATCGAAAGCTACACAAACATCTAATCCTTATCACATAACACAAGCAATTTCATCATCAAACATTGATCATCTCTCATCATCATAAATCATAGATGCATTCGACTCAAGCATTTTTTTTTTTTTTTTTTTTATATTCCGAAAAAAACGAGAAAAACAATAAAAACGAATAAAACCTAATGCATGCAAACTAAAACAAATAAGCACAAAAATACATGTTTTTCACCCCCAAACTTAAAATTTTCGTTGCCCTCAACGAAATTAGCACAAAGTTTAAGGATAGAAAACACCTGATTTAGTCGGAATCGTCGTCATCGGGGTATGAGAATTGGCGGGAGGGCAAAACGAATTTTTATTTTTTTTTTTTTTTTTCTGGTTGTGGGACGGGGGTCCCACATTTACACCTATTTGTGGGACGGCCGTCCCACAGGCAGTGGTGCAATTTTTTTTTTTTTTTTTTTTTTTTTTTTTTTTTTTTTTTTTTTTTTCGGACGGCCGACTCGACCCTCGATCACGTTTTCGACCCTGAAAAGTAAAATTCAAATAGTGAATTAGAATGCATGCTTATGACAAAAAAAAACGAAACGAAAAAAAAAAATTTAACGAAAACTACGAAAAACAATAAAGCTCGGGTTGCCTCCCGAGAAGCGCTAAGTTTAAAGTCTTCAGCCAGACTTTGCTTCTTGAAATCGCTATGTCCAATCCAAAGCCTTGTAGATTGCGCACCCATCCATGAGCTTTGTCACTTCAATTGCAACCGATACAGGGATAGGATTGCAATATGTCAGGGTCCACTTTAGCTTGTAAATTTTCTTGGTTGTAATCAATCGGTACGAAGCCAAGATGGGGTCTTCATCACCCGCTCCCTCAAATCGGTACACAAGAACCTCACGTCCGCGTATAACCTCCACTTCAAACACATTCGTCTTCTTATCAACCTCTATTGATGCCTTCAAAGCCACGTCAGGAATAACAATAAGATCATCAATTTGAATATTTGCACTAACCACATCCATCTCCTTCTTCTCTTGTTCCGAGACATCTTTGGAGTTGAGCTCGATTTCATTGTCTGATTCATCATCTTCAAGTGTCTTCGTAATTTCTTTTTCCCTCTCATCGACACTATTTTCTAGGTCTAAAGGATTTTTCTCATCACAAGTTTCAGATGGATTTTCTTTGTTGCAACCATTCTCGATATTGTCTGAAATATTTTCAAGAGACCTCTTGAGCTTCATCTCTTCCAACATTATTTCAAGTCTTCGGATAGATGCTTGAGTGGATTTCATAAAATCTTCAAGGATGGATTTCCTATAACACTCCTCAATAGTGGGTTCTCGTGGCTTTGCATAATAGGTTTGAAAATCATCAAATTGCGGCTCACGATGTTGAAAATTGTGGAAATCTTGGCTTGAATTGCTCTGCTCGTACGTGTTGGTGTATGTGTTCCGGTAACCGCCGTTGGTGTTATCTATGAAATTATTCGCTTTCGGTGCATACCAACATTGGTTAGTGTAATGATCTCCACCACATCTTGAACAAAGTGACGACATATTATAGGTATTTTGGAGGTATTCGCTAGACGGAAGCCATTCATATCCCGTTTGAGGTGCGCGAAAATTGTAACCTGACATGTAACCCAAGAAAAAAAATTATATTAAAAAAAATTAAAACGAAAAGATAAAATAAAAGAAAATTGGGTGAATCGTGAAAATTGTTCAAATTTAGAGCTAGAATAAAATAAATAATTAAAATATTCCCCGGCAACGGCGCCAAAAACTTGTTGGTCGAAAACCTACACGCAAGTGCACGTATCGTACAAGTAATATAGTGGACAATTAAGTCCGGATATCGAACCCACAGGGAATATTTAATTATCTAACCCTAGACGCTAAATTCTACCAATTATTATCAAGCCCACCCTACACAGTCGAAAGATGATTAATAAACTAATTTAAACTAAAGCAATTAAAACGACAAAAACAAGAAAGCAATTAAAACGAAGATTTAATCAGATAAAACGAGCCTAGGATTTTATTCTTCCCCCTATGTGATTATTATTCCCCCAATTCCTTCAATTATGCAAGCAATTAACCCGGATTATTAACCTGAGATGCTAAAATAATCATAACCCGCTTCCGCGTGTATTACGATTCTAATGCTCTAGATTCAATTACTATATTCCTATGCAATTAATTCTAGAACACAGCATTAAGCACAAATCTCAATAATGGCTACCTAAGAGATTAACTATATTCCTATGTTAATACCACAAAGGCTCTTCTACCACAGTTCTAATTATTAACCCGATCTTCCGATTCATGCGATTAACAATAACATAAAAGCACATAAGTTGATCAAGTTCATGCACTTAATAAAACAAGTAGAAGAAATAATCCGGAATTAAAACTTGCATAAAATCATAGAAAAAGGTTCATAAATCCCACATAGGGTTCCAAATAAAATCCTAGAAATAAAGACTTAGCTACTCGTAATTCTTATGATAAATAAAATAAAATAAATAAATTAAATAAGAAAAACTATGCTTGAATCTTCGTTGATCTTCTATGCTCTTGAATTTGCGTCCAAAGATTGATCCCTAATTGTGTGCTTGGAATGGTCTTATATAGGGTGAAGAACTTGGGGAAGAAGGCAGTTTCCTTGTGCGATTAAAATCCTTTTACTGCGCAATTTCGGGTTATGGGACGGGGGTCCCATGATTTGCACTAAAACTGGGACGGGGGTCCGAGCCTTGTTTCTTCAGAATTTTGATTTTTTCACTTTTGGCCCATATTTTCTCCAAAATTGCAGTTTTGACCCCATACTTTTCCAATTCTTCAATTTGTACCTACAATACAATAAATCAACTTTTTAAGCACCAATTATCATTAAAACACACCAAAAGCTCAAATAAAAAGATACGATAAAGTGTAAAAATATACACTTAACAGGGCCTTGGCAAGACGACTTTTGCTCAATTAGTCTACAACGATCAACGGGTCATTAAACATTTCGACAAACTAATTTGGGTTTGTGTGTCCGACAATTTTGATGTGAAGACTTTGGTGAAAGCCATGATTGAATCTGGAGGTGGAAGTGCTTCGGACTTGGTGCACTTGGATGCTTTGCAGCGGCGACTCTGGGAGATGCTGAACAACAAGAGGTACTTGCTTGTATTGGATGATGTTTGGAACGAAGATCAAGAGAAGTGGTTCGGGTTAAAAAAAGTTGTGGCACGTGGCTCAATGGGGAGTTCAATTATCGTCACCACACGCCTAAAAAAGGTTGCTGATATAATGGGAACACTTCCACCACATCAATTGGCAGGGTTGTCGGATGAACAATGTTGGATGCTGCTCCAAGAACGTGCATTCGGACAAGAGAAAAATGAATATCCAAACCTCGAAGCCATTGGTAAGCAGATTGTGAGGAAGTGTGATGGTGTTCCTATGGCTGCTAAGGCGCTTGGAGGTCTGTTGCGGTTTCAGAGGAAAGAGACGGAGTGGATTTATGTGAAAGAAAGTAAAATATGGGAATTACCTGAAACTCTGATACTGCCGGCCTTGAGATTGAGTTATCATCATCTTCCTTTATCATTGAGGCAATGTTTTGCCTATTGTGCAGTCTTTCCCAAGGATACTCGTATTCGAAAAAAAGAATTGATCTTTATGTGGATGGCCCATGGATATATTTCATCAAAGGGAGCATTGGAAGTGGAGGATGTCGGCGATCAAATATGTGATGAGCTAGTTTTGAGATCTCTATTGCAATATGTTATCGATCCAAATCAAACAACTGTCGTTATGCATGATCTTGTTCATGATCTCGCCGAATCAATCATGGAGAACAAAATTCCCGGAATACAAGTCCAAAGGAAAGTGACAAGTGCATCCAATAGCAAAATCCGCCAGGTAAATCTGAGAGAAAATTTAATTGCGTTTCCTACGAGTAATGAATGTGAGATGGACATGTCTTTCATTTTAAATAACTTCTTACGTTTGAGGATATTAGATGCAAATAAGACAAGGATAAATGAATTGTCTTCTGCGGTAGGCAATTTGAAACATTTGAGACACTTGAATTTGTCCGGAACTGAAATTCGTACATTGCCCGACTCATTATGTGGTCTCTGGAATTTGCATGTTTTGAATTTGGATGAGTGCAAAAAGCTTGAGGCTTTACCAAAGAAGATGAGGCACTTGGTTAATCTCCGCCATCTATGTCTGAAAGATTGTAAGTCACTAACGGAGATGCCACCTAAAATTGGAGAACTTACTTGCCTTAAAACATTGAGTCGGTTCATAGTGGGTCGTGATAGAGGTAATGGACTCGAGGAATTGCAGTGCTTGAACCTTGGTGGCGAGCTTGGACTTCATCATCTGGAGAGAGTGAAAAACCCGATGGATGCAAAGAAAGCAAATCTTGCTGAGAAAAAGAACCTTCGTCATTTGAAGTTGGACTGGGAATTGTATTCAAAGGAAGAGAATATAGATGAAGAGGTGTTGGAAGCACTTGAACCTCCCCCAAATCTTGAAACTCTATTGATAGAAGGATTCAGGGGTACGTGTTTTCCAGTTTGGATGTCAAATTCGACTATGAAGAAAGTAGTTCGAATTGATATATCAAGCTGTGAGAATTGTATGCATCTTTCGCAACTGGGAAAGCTACCTCATCTTAAGTACTTGCGTTTAAACAATCTGGCTCGGGTGGAGTACATTATTGAGGATCAAAGTGGAAATCCATTAACAAGTGTACAACAGTTCCCATCTCTGGAAAGACTGGATTTACAGTACCTCGACAATCTCAAAGGGTTGTTAAAACAGCAAGTGATGACGGGATCAGCTGAAGCATTCCCAAATCTTGAGCAGCTAGAGATTATACTTTGCAATTCATTAATATTGCCACCACTCTCATTATCTCTTAAAAAGTTGAAGAAATTGAAATGCGGTAGCTTACATCTGGCTTCATTGTCTAAGCTGGAAGTTGTTACCGATCTAAATGTGAACTTCTGGAATAGGTTTACATGCATTACAGTTGAGACACTGCAAAGCCTCACCAATCTCAAGACATTGGAGATTTCCAATGCAGAAGATATGTCTCTGCAAGAAGAAGGGATGCGAGCATTGAAATCTCTAACATATTGTGAGAAACTGACGTGTTTACCTGAAGGGTGGTTGCGGCACCTCACTGCTCTAGAGGAACTACAAATAATCGAATGCCCGGAAGTTGTAGAGCTGCCAGAGGAGGAGGTTAAATACCTCAAATTCCTTAAAAAAGTCAACCTCCGTGGGCTTCGAAAGATGGTGTATCTACCCAAGGCCTTGCAACACCTCGCATCTTCACTCCAACGTCTAAGCCTAAACAACCTTCCTCAGTTGAGTTCACTGCCGGACTGGTTAGGCGATTTCACATCTCTTGAAGAGTTGACTATTATAAAGTGCCCAAAGGTAACATCACTTCCAACTAGAATCCGAGGAATGACAAATCTCCAATATCTATGCATCTGGAGCTGCCCGGAATTGAAAAAGAACTGTGAGAAAGAAAATGGGGAGGATCGGCACAACATACAACACATTCCCAACCTGTTCATTGGTTAACCATTATGATTACTGTAAGTAATTGGAAGTTTGGATTGTTACAAAATCATATGTTATATTTCTCGATTGCTGTAATGTATGCTGAATAAAGATGTATATACAATGTTTGCCCAGAAAGGTTTTTTTCTTCCCTCATTTTCCCTACTCTTGTAACTGCTTTCATCTTCTCTATTTCCACTCTGGTTTTCCAAACTCTTCTTTTAAAAAATTGGTTGCACAGTCATCTTCTTTCCGTAGCAGCCCCACCACACCCATCAAAACTCTTTATCCAACCAACACTCCGCCGCCGCACCACCACCACCTCCACCTCCACCCACCCAAATATGAAATGGGTTCCCAAAAATTCTCCGGCGACGATCGCGAAAATGGGCTAATCAGATTGTCTCTTTCTTTGAATGCAAAAATCCCATAAATTTGTCAGTTCATTTTTCTGTTGATGTCGGCGAGTAAAGTGGCGGTGGTTTTGCAGAGGACGTGGTGGAGGATGTTGCTTTTGGGGGTGGGGTGAAGAAGAGGTGATGGACTGAAGTGAAAATTTTATAAACTTCATTTCGGTCTTTTCAAATTAATTGGGGGAATCTGTAATTTTTAAAATATATGATAAAGGATATTTTTGTCTTTTTACGAAAACTATGAAATTTACCCACATTGGGACAACTTTGCAAGTACAAGGGGTTAAACGATCCAATCGAGAGTTCAAGGGGGTAAAGTGACTTCATACCAGAGGATATTACCCATGTGTAATATCTAATTGCTGAAAAACATTCGTGATAAAAATATTAGCTAAAACTCCCCAATAAAAATTAGTCAAAGCCATTAAGGCCCCTACGAGTTGAATGTGTGTGCACGTGCAGATTTTGCGAGACTTGGGTTATGTTTTTTTTTTATCTGAAAAGACTAAAATACCCTTTAAAACACATATTTAGAAAATTATAAATTCATCTTATAATTTTCGTAAGACCAAAATAAAAGTTTCATAATTTTCTTTTATATTTAATATAAAAATATATTTCATTATTTAAATTAAATTTTTTTTTTAGAAAATTATTAAAGGTAATTTTGTCATTTCATTTAAGTGAAAAACCAAATTTAATGTAAAGAGTTGTTTGCTTTGTAAAACGTAACATAGGGTGGTTATTGTTAATTTTTTTAACATGAAAGTGTTTTCGACAATTAGAAATTACGCAGGGATTCTCTTATAATAACTCAAAAAGAAAAAGTAGTGTGCTAAAACATCAATATTTTCTTGCTATTTCTAATACCACAATAAGTTGGTTTGTGTTTGGAAGGAAAGCCCATGTACAAAAAAAATTGTGGCATTGGGCCAATGTTTCGAGCATAAGAGGATATAGTCATACAATTCCAATTAGTGTTTTGAAACCCAAATCGAATCGATCGGTTAAACCGCAAATCGTTGTCTTGTCCGGTTTTGTTTGATCGGTTGGACCGTAACATCGGAACCCGAGTGAAAATCAGGGTCCATGTAAACAAAAGTGAAATTTAACCAAAAAAACAAAAAACAAAAAAGAAAAAAACAAATAAATCCTGTGCGGCGCTTGTGATTATTAAAAATTATTGTTGAGATTTACAATAATTGAAAAATAAAGAAAACGATCAAATTCCCAAAATACTTGAAACTCAAACAGCCGCACTCTTCTCCAAAGCGCGTAGCTTACACGAAATGTCACGCAAATCAACTCTGCAAGAAGGATTCTCCCACTGCACAACTTCTTTAACCGCCTTCTCAATCTCTCTCGTCTCTTTCAAAATCCCATGCATGCAGAAAACAACCGAACTCAAACTCAATATCACCTGATTCTTCAGCAGATAGTCTTCCCCTATACACCCAACAAGCCCATCCAAATTCTCGAGAAACGAATCGACGCTCTTCTTGATCTCGTCGTCGCTCGCTTCCGTCCACTGCATCGCGTACCGCCTCCCCGATTTCCCCATCTCGAGATCGACCGCGCTTTTCCGCTTCCCGTACTCCTTCTCGATTGCCGCGATCGAATTTACCAAACTAACCTCCTCGAAGCACTTGATCCCCGAGCAAACCGCGTCTTTGAGCATGTTGAGATCGCTCTCCATTTTCGCTGCGGCCACTTTCCATACCCCGCCGTCGATTGCTTTCGACTCGTTTTCGAGGAATTTAAGCGCGCAGCTCCCGAAAAGCAATAGATCCACCGTCTTCGAAAGCGACGCCTTTAACTTACTATATCCACCACTATGGAAAGGCAAGAACCAGAAGTTGGGCTCCACGTCAGCTTCCTCGATGAATTTCCCGAGCTCGCTCACTTCGAATTTCAGCTTCTTCGTCGTTTCTTCGAAGCTGAATTTATTCGAGAAGCTGAGATCGACGAAGCCGACAGAATCGTGCAACGCCTTGAGGCTCTTCGTGAGCTGGACTTTCGCCAAAACCGAAGCCCTCGTAGGCTGCAAGAGAATATCCACCATAATCGAACAAGTTAACCCGATGAACGTTTCCACGATCCTGGCGATAGCGAAATCGCTCGGCGTGCCGAAATTCTTCCTCCCCAAAATCAGCACCGCACCGATCACCGCGGAAACTCCGCCAGCCTGGCCGTACATTTTGCTCTGCCGCAAGAAGCTGCAGAAAATAAACCACGGGAAGAGAGAAACGATTCTGATTTTGACGTATTTCTCGAAAACGAAGCAGCCTATTACTCCGTACACAGTTCCGATAACCGTGCCTTGTGCTTTGATGTTCGCCACTTTGAACGTTGCCTCCCTCGATGCCGCCAGGCTTATCGCTACCGGCAGGCCGGACCAGAACCCGTCTTCCTTGCTATATATCGATCCGAAAAAGACCGCAAACCCTAACGAAAGCGCGCATTTTAGAGCGGGCATTAGTCTTTTTTTGTTAATGGTGATCGGGTTGTAATTACTCCATGATTCTTTCTTTTTCGGGGAGTTAATATTATTCGGTGCTTGTGACGATTTTGTTTGGAGGAGTTTGAGGCAGAAAATGAAGAACAAAGAAGGCAAATCTTTGAAGCTAATCGACGGGATTATCGTGTTCGCGTGAAGTGTTTGGAGGAACTTGTTATTATTGCCCTTTAATTCTGCTTCTTCGTTCGAGTTTTTCGGCGACATGCTTTTGACTTGGTTCAATATTTGCTCCTCTAAACCAATTAAATCTTTTTTGAGCTCGGAATTCAGTAGCCCGACTTGAAACTCGGAGCAGTTTTCGAGACCGTTCTCCATTCCTCTCAAGATTGTTTCGAGCCCTTGTAACGTTTCCCCTGGATTCTCGTCGTGTGATTTGAAAAACCTCGTCGGTATTATTTCCCACTTCATGCTTTCCTGCGGAAAGAATTTTCGATCTTCGATTAGTATAAGAGTGTATGTAATATTTAACTAATTAACCGATGAATATGTAACGAAAAAGATCGATGCGTAAATTCGCTTACTTGTTTCGATTTAATGCTGTGGAGAAGTTTATTTCCTGTTTTGTTCAAAGACTTGGCTTGTGAGATTAAGGCCTTGGGTGATGACTTGTCTTCTGCTGAGAAGGCCTTCACAAATAGCTTTAGTCTTTCTGATGCATTTTCTATGTACAATTTGCAATTTTCTCTCACCTGAAATTGATGAGGGATAAAAATGTCAATTTACATTTTCGATTCAAGAGAGGGCCTACTAGGGTTTTATATATATATATATACATGCAAACTCCATGCAGCACTAGAAGTTGTCCATGCAAGTTGGTTTGATTAGTTATATATATATATTATATATACATACCTCACAAAAGGCCAAGCTAGGATAAGGCAACAACAAGGCCAAAACACAAGCCGCCACCCCAAGTGCGGTGCTCGCCGCGACACGAATCGGGTGCATAATGGGCTCCGTCTCCGCCCCGTTGATAAAAGCGATAACGTACACGATCACAATCTGCCCGAGCGCGATGCGCTTCGATATCAAGTGGGTGTTCTCCGGCAGAGCCACCACGAAGCCGCTGATCGCCACCACCACGGACGTGGTGGTGGCGGTCAGACGCTCCGGCCCGATCAGCCACAGGCTGAGGATGGCCGGGCAGACGCCCTGCACGGTGGCATACACCGCCATCCAGCAACCGCGCAGGGTGTCCCCTAGAGTCGCGTCCGTGACTATGAGAACCACCGTCACGTACGAAAAGGCCGGGAACGCCACCTGGCGGTTGAAGGCCTTCGGGCCGAAGAGGGTGGCTAGGCCCACTATGGTGCATGCCAGGGAGGTACGGAAGGCCGAGCCGAGGCACCGCCGCCACATGGCTCTTGCTCGGTCGTCGGATTGGATTTGTGAAGTGGTCGCCATTTTTTTTTTCTTCTTTTTGGCTAATTATTTTCTTCAAGTGTTGGAAAAAAAATGGGGATGTAATATCTTGGAGGAGAGATGAATTAAGGGGGGTTTTGTAAAGGAGAGAGATTTGGTTGTTTGTGATCTTTGATGATGACAAAGGGTCAATTTTGGACGTGGCGAAAGTTCTAAAAAAACAACATATTTTAGTGCGAGAAGTTCGTTAAAGCAGATGTTTTCTTTCTTTTTTTTTTTAGCTTTTTTGCATCTGGGATTTTCATGGAATTTGATATACATATGTTAGTGCGCTTATATTAGCTTATGTAAGCATATGTATATATAGACTATAGTATTAATACCATAAAGCTTAGTCATGGATTTCTTTGGTGGAAGCATGTGTGTGTGTCTCGGTATGTGCAATTATACAGGGTAAATTACGGCCACATCTGAGGTAAGGTTAAACTATGAAAATACCCTTTTGTTTGGGTAATTACAATCACTGCATCAACTATGAATCTTCTTATATACGTTCACTCGATCTTATGGTGTCAAATTCAACATAATCTTATGGATTCCGTGAAATGTTCTCTAGTGTGTACTCGTTTTGTGGAAAAATTCAGTTTCTGATGGACTACAATTTGATATTTACAAGCTAAAAAAACGCATCTTATGATTATCTTGTTTTATAATGTGGAGCTCGAATGGGGTAACATGGGTACAAACTGATGAATATTCCACGTAATCTAGAAAATTTCACTAAATTTGACACTGCACGGATGGACGTGTAAAAAGATCATAGTTGAGGGAGGTGGTTGTAATTATCCAAAATGAGGTGATTTTTCGTATACCTCCGTAATTTACCTTATATTTTGATACTTTTACTATAATCCTTTATATATGCAAGCATATGTGTACCATAAAGCTTAGACGTGGATTTCTTTGGTGGAAGCATGTGCGTTTCATAATCACTGGTGATTCTACCTAAGGGTTAGCCCACCCTATTCCAATTCTTTGGATACATACTACATGTTAGTTAATTTACCTAACCATCCAATTTATACTATATACTTAGCCTATTTCTATACATAACTATAGTTGAAGCCTATAAAATGCTTTAAAATTTGACAAAAATACGCCAAAATTTAATAGACTACATAATTTTAGTTGAAACCTATGAAAATGCATTAAACTTCGACACGAATACACCAAATTTCAGACGACATAGTCTCAAAGAAATCGATTAGGAAATTTTCTTTTCCAACATTAGTATTCTAAATATAAGGGTACGTACAAATGTGAAATCCCTCGTCTTTAAGATATTTTTTGTTTCGAGTACTTGCATTAATTTTATAACCGCAAAGTTTTCTTCTTTCTTTTTTGAATCACTTTAATTATACCCTTTGTCTCTACAATTTTTTTCTTTTTTGAAATATATTTAGGAAGTCATTAGTGGCACCATTAGCTTGTTGATGACTGGTTACTAAGAAATTATAGTTTTCTATCTTGTTTATAGAAAAACTAAATTTTATGTAAATACTCGTTTAAATCAAAGAATTCTTGTTAACGCATTTAAAATATTTACTTATATATACACTTTTATTTTCATATATGTTAATACGTCTAAAAATAGTTCGGGGGATTTTTACTTAGATTTTCACTTCCGGAAAAGTTTGGATTTTTTTCTTCAAAAGATACTAATTCAGATCTGATCCGTCCGAATTTTATCCCTAATATTCGTACGTAATTAACCAGAATTCTCCTATCAAAAAAGAGTCAAAAGAGGGTGGAGAATGTATTTACAATATATATATTAATTTTCTCATCTACCCACTTTTTCTTGGAGTAGTAACTAAATAAATAAATAAATATAATATGAAAAAGGAAGAGAGGAGGATTTCCAGGCAAAACATGCAGCAGTTCTTTTCTGACCTTACATTGTGGGATCCCACGCCATAAAGTGTGTGTGTGTGTGTGTGTTTGTGTGTGTGAAATTGTTTATACATATATTGCACAAAGCAAAATCTTGGTTGGATGGCTTTGGATTATATAATATATTATATAATACGAACTCCAATCTAATGTTTGTCATTAGGCCTAATTAAATTAAGTAAGATAATTAAGAAAAGTAAAGTTTGTACTACTGCTCTTTGTTTCTTTTGTATAAAGGTTTGAATTTGGAGCAATGAGGAGATAGTAATAATCTAATTCATAATTAGTTGGATTAAGGTTGTCTGAATAATTACACCTAATTCCTAAATCTTATATAGATTTGTATCAAGGAAGTACTTAATTTGGTTAAAGTTGGTAAAGTGGCTGCAAAAGATCAGTCTTTTGGGTGAAAGCAATGAAATGAAATGATAATTGCACATGTTGAAAATATTGGAGATGAACACTAGCTAGTAGGTGAAAGAAAAATGAAACTTAAAAAATATTCAAGAAATTTGAATAATAACTCTTTTCGTGTCAAAAAATTTGTCGCTTTGGAATTTACACATATATTAAGAAAATGGGGAGTTAGATGCTACATCTAATTATTTAGACCGAGTGAATTTGAATCGTGGATTTGATTAGATAACGGGAAAATTACAGTTTTCATCCCTCAAGTTTGCAACGATTTAACATTTGGTCCCCCATGTTCACAAAAAACACATTTGGTCCCTTATGTTTCCAAAATTCAATACTTTTAGTCATTTCCGTCAAGATCCCGTCAAGTCATTACGGAATCAAGCGTGTGCCCATCACTGCCTTAACTAACGGATTAACGGTAAATTGACGGAAATGACCAAAAATATTAAATTATTTGAACATGAGGGACCAAATGTGTTTTTTGCAGATATGAAGGACCAAATGTGAAATCGGTGCAAATTTGAGGGATTAAAACTTTACTTTTCTCATTAGATAACTACTCACTAAGCACATATACACACACGTGTATGTGAAATTTTGTGTAGATTTAATGTTTAAATCCATGAAGTGTAAATAATCAGGTATAACATTTAATTCTCTTAAGAAAACTAGTAACATGCAGAAAAATAATATTTTGAAGGAACAAGATACAACAAAATAACATTTAAAGGGGCAATGTGCAACCAAAACACTCAATTCCAGTGAAAAATCCATTGAAATTTTGCTATCGGAGCAATGTGCAACAAAAATAACATTATGAAGGGGGTATTTACATTTCCAAATTTTGAGAGGTAAAGTGCACAAATTAAAAATTTATAGGGGGTGACATGCAAATTACACTTAAATAAATGAAATGAAATAGGGAAATAGGAAAAAAAAAAAACAAAATAAAGGTAGTGGTGACCCTCTCTTAAATGAATTCCCCCTATGTCACACTCCATTTTCTAGCACAAACGCGACACTAAAAAAGAAGAAAAAAAAATGTTTGAGAAATTGATGATTAATCGTGATTGTGATGTATGCAAATTAGGATACCCCAAAAAATCACGATGTGTTGAAAATTGTACCATCGTCACTTACTTTTGAGTGCATCTCATCATCCCATCACCGTACCTAATTTGATGTGGATCCAACTTATTATTTTCACAAAAAAAAAAAATTAAAAAAAATATAGATGTATAAAGGCAAATTGCACTTGACCCCCTCAAAAGAATCATTTTTTGCACTTTCTCGGCTCAAAAAAAAAATGAGATTGTCTGCCTTCGAAATAGGACAAAATGCACTTTGCCCCCAATAAATTTCTGTTTTTCGCACTTTCCCCCCTAAAACTAAAAAAAATGGATATTCCACCTTCGAAATATTATATTGATTGCACTTTGGCCTATAAGCCAATTTTTTTAGGGCATTGTGCAACAAAAATAACATTTTAAAGGGGCAATGTGCAAAAAATAATGTTTTAAGGGGCAACTTGCAATAAAAATAACATTGAAATGGACAACGTGCAACAAAAATACTCAATTCTGATGAATAATCCATCGGAATTTTACTATCGGAGCAATGTGTAATAAGAATAATATTTTGAAGGGGGGCATTCACTTTTAAAAATTTTGAGAGGGTAAAGTGTGAGATTAAAAATTTACAGGGGGTGATGTGCAATTTTCCCTTCGAAATATACGACTCGGTGCACTTTGCCCAAATGTGTATTTCCGGTCTAATTTTCGCCAAATTAAAGGTGGATATGTCATTTTACCTTTTCAGCTTGAAAATCCTCCAAATTAACAAAATTATCTTCCCAATTTGATGAAATTGGCTTCGAAATTAGAAAAAAATTATCTTCCCAATTCAATAAAATTTATTATTTGTTCTTCATAATCATCGTAAGATGGGGTGAAAGATGTTAAACGACATTTAAAGTCTTAAAAGACGAAATTGCCCTTCCAATTAACTCAAATCCGACAGGAATTAGACCGGAAATACATATTTGGTGCAAAATGCACCGAGTTATATATTTCGAAGGGGGGCAATCTCGCTTTTGTAATTTAAGAGGGGAAAGTGCAAAAATGATTATTTTGAGGGGGCAAAGTGCAATTTTCCCTATTTTTAGTATTATGACAAATTACGGTCACCTATCTGAAGTAAAGTTAAATTACACAAAAAAATCCTATTGTTTGGATAATTACAATCGCACCCTTCAACTATTCATTCTTATACGTCTACTTTTACGGTGTCAGATTTACCTAATTTAAAAGTGTTTTTTTCGTAAGACGATACATAGTTGAAGAGTGACTGTAATTATTCAAACACGAGAGGTTTTTTCGTAATTTAATCATATTTCAGGGATGGCCGTGATCTGCCCTTAATATTATTATGTTGTCCTCCACAATTGCTGTGATGGGACAACTAAATTTTGAGTTGCAAATGAGTTTGTTTGTCTGATGATGTCATGATCTGTGTATTTGTTCGAACCTCGAAAGGTCACAAAACGTTTTTCTGCAAGAAAATAAAAATCTGAAAAGAAATTGAAGTGGAGCCATTTGAATATTCATGACAAGATTGATCCACACACTGGGGCTGTGTGTGTGTGTGTGTGTTTTAACCAGTAATTGCAATCAACATAATTGTTTTATTTTATTTTATTTTGGGAGCCACAAGTATATCCAAAGTGGGTTCTGATTCAGATTCTTGCATTCAAGAAACTTGTGGCTGATTGGCAGCCAAAGGATAAGGAGTTTAGTAAAAATTGGAATAAATATAAAATGTAGTATGTATGAAAATTAGGTTCTTACTTAGGTGTCAGTGTTTGCAAAAGCTCGTTTAAAAATAAAAGTTAAAAAATAAAAGTTAATGATTGTAAGTTATATTGGGATTAAGCGTTTTTTTAAGAGTTGGGGTGTTCGCAAATTTAGTTGGGAAATCAACTTAAATAGATCA